GTCTTAAAATAGCATGGGCGGAGTGACCTAACCGTGGGCGTGAATTTGGCTCTAGGATAGGCGTGCGGAGACGATAGTGTGGGCGGACTCCTGGTTACGGGCGTGGGCGGGAGGGAGATGAAGTAGATAGATAGAGAGATAGAGTAAAAAGGAGGTGAGGAATTGAGTAATGGGAGGAGGAAGAAATGAAGCAGGGAAGAGAACACGAGGAGGAAAAGGAAGGAAGGAAATATAAGATGAAGACGAAGACGAGGAAAAAGAAGAAGGGAAGGAGGAGGAGGAGGAGGAGGAGGAGGAGGAGGAGGAGGAGGAGGAGGAGGAGGGGGATGATGATGATGATGATGATGATGATGATGATGATGATGATGATGATGATGATGATGATGATGATGATGATGATGATGATGATGATGATGATGATGATGATGATGATGATCATGATGATGATGATAATGAGGAGGAGGAGGAGAAGGCGATAATGACGGAGAAGGAGAAGGGTAAGGAGGACGAAAAGGAAGAAGAAGAAAAAGAAGCAGAAATAGAGAAGAGGGAGAGAAAAAACAGAGAGAAAACCTCGTTATGGGCAGGGGCGTTGCGAGGGGGAAGTGGACGAGGGGCTGGTTATGGGCGAGGGCGGATGAGGGAGAAAGAGAAGGGGGGAGGGGGGGGAGGACCTCCAGGCAGTGGGGGTGAAGGGGGTAGAGGGAGGAAGTGAGGTGGGGAGGGGGGAGGGAGAGGGACTTCGGGGTGGGGTGGGTGAGAGGGAGGAAGGGGTGTGGGTGGGAGGGGGTGGGGGAGAATAGAGGGGGGTGTAGGGTAGTTGTGGGGAAGAGAGAGGAAGAGATTGGGAAGAGGGGAAGTGGGAAGAGGGCAAAAGGAGGGGAAAGGGGGAAGGGAGGAGGAGAGGAGAGGAGAGGAGAGGAGAGGAGAGGAGAGGAGAGGAGAGGAGAGGAGAGGAGAGGAGAGGAGAGGAGAGGAGAGGCAGGAAGGGTGATGAGTAACAGGGAGGATGACAGGGGGTACCAGCGATCGGAAGGGAGAGAGGTGAGACGGGAGGGGAAGGAGGAGGAGGGAGGAGGAGGAGGAGACGGGATGGGAAGGAGGAGGAGGAGGAGGAACGAGGACTGAGGACGAGGAGGATGAGCGGATGACGGGGGAGGAGCGAGGGAGGTGGGTAAGGGAGGGGAGGAGTAGGAGGAAGGAGGGGAAGGGAGAGGAGGATGAGGAGGAGGGAGGATGGGGAAAGACGAGGATGAGGCGGAGGGAGGAGAGAGGAGGAGAGGAAGATTAAGAGGAGGATGAGAGAGGGAGGAGGATGAGGAGTGGGAAGTAGGAGGAGGAGGGAGGGTAATGGTGTTTACCAGACCGTTCCCCCCTCGGCAACAAGGAGTCTATATAAGGACTTCCCGGCAGCTCCCGACATGGAAAGTTTTATGCACTTTTTTGTCTACTTTGGGGCGTGAGGAGGAGGTGAGGAGGCGGAGGAGGAGGAGGGAGGAGAGGGGAGAGGAGGAGGAGGAAATAAGGAGGAGGAGAGAGAAAGATCGAGAGAGAAGAAGAGAAGAGAGAGAGAGAGATAGGAGAGAGAGAGAGAGAGAGAGATAGAGAGAGAGCGAGATGAGAAGAGAAGAGAGTAGAGAGAGAGGAGTGGAAGGCGGAGGCGGAGGAGAATAAGGAGGAGAATCAGGAGGGGAATAAGGAGGAAAAATAAAGAGGAGCTAAGGAGGAGGAGAGGAGGAGAGAGAGAGAGAGAGAGAGAGAGAGAGAGAGCGAGAGAGAGAGAGAGAGAGAGAGAGCGAGATAGAGAGAAAGAGAGAGAGAGAAAGGAGGAGAGAAGAGAAGAGAGAGAGAGAGAGAGAGAGAGAGCGAGAGAGAGAGAGAGAGAAAGAGAGAGAGAGAGGAGAGGAGAGAGAGGAGGAGGAGGAGAGGAGGAGGAGGAGAGGAGTGTAGGGAGGAGGAGAGGTGGAGGAGGAGGAGAATAAGGAGGAGAGATAGAGAGAGAGAGAGAGACAGCAATAGAAGTAGAGAGATGAGCGCGATCAACACAGACACTGTTTTTCAAATGATATCAATATGATAACAAACAAATACAAGGAAATAGAAATAAACAGACAAACGCAAAAACACAATTAACAAATTTTATTACACCGTCTTTACACTAAAAAGAATTAACACCGAATTTTACAGAACAATTAAAGCTTTTTTTTTTTGGAAAATTATAGAACAGATATATAGAAAATTTATGTAAATTATTGACGTTAATGACTAAAAGTATGATTATACTGATAATTGCCATGTCACTAATAATGATAATAATGGTAAAATGTTAATGAATATTACTACTAATAACAAAATGTTAACGATAGTAATACCATGATATACCATAATGTTAATGATGATGAAGATAATGATAATGAAAATAATAATAATAATAGCAATAATAATGATAATAATGATTGTAACAACAACGATAATAATAATTATAAAAATAATCAAAATAATAATAACAATAACTATAAAAAATAATGTTAATAATAATAATAATAATAATAATAATAATAATAATAATAGTGATGATAATAAATGATAAAATAAAAATAATAACAAAACAATAACACAGTAATAACAGTAATGCCAATAATAATGATAATAATGATAATAATGATAATAATGATAATAATGATAATAATGATAATAATGATAATAATGAAAACATTGACAGAAGTACTCACAACAATACTAAAAATACAATTATGACAATAACAATAATAATAATGAGGATAATCATAATAACAATAATAGTAACAAAATAATAATAATGATAATGATAATGAAAATGATATTGGTAATGGCAATAATAATAATAACAATATTTATATTGATATAAATAATAATAACAATAAAAATAAATGCTAATAATAATTATAATTATAACAATAATGATATGAACAACATAATTATCATTATAATAACAATAACAATAATAACGCAAATTCACTGCATAAATTATAATTATAATAATCATCAATTTTTCTATAATTATCATCATTATTATAATAACAATAACGATAATCATTACTATTTTTGTTATCATTACCATAACTGTCATCATTTTCATAACAAAGCAATAATAAAGAACAAAATTATATTTCTAATGAAAAAGCAATAAAAACAATGAATTATTTTTTTTCTACCATAAACAAAGCAAAATATACGAGTAATTATTTAGATAAAAAGAAGCAAGCAGAGAAAATGAAAAAAAAAAGAAAAAAAAAGAAAGAAAATAACCCAGCATATAAAACACCGACCAAATTATAAATCAAACAAATCGAGAAAAAAATCATACCTGACGAAATGTAAAATAGTAAAAAAAAAAAAAAAAGAAGAAAAAAGAAAAGGAAAAAAAAGACAGGTAAATGAAAAAGAATCTTCCCGCCTTCTGTTGAGATTTTGACCAATCACCGACGAGCTGCGTCTTCGTTAGCCAATAGCCGCAGTGTATTCAATCAACAAGCCCCGCCCACATTTAGAAGAAAAAAAAAATAGGCCTAATGATTCCTTTTGCTGTATTTTAACCAGAAATATTTAAATTGATATATGTTTCCTTTTTTATATATTTCGTTAAGTTATTAATTTACTTCAACGGGTAGGACTGGAGGAAAGAGAAAGTGACGAGGGAAAAAATGAGAGAGAGAGAAGTGAGCGAGAGTTCGCCTGAGAGAAAAGTGAGAGAGACGAGAGAAAGTGAGAGAGAGAAAGACAGACAGAGAGAGAGAGAGAGAGAGAGAGAGAGAGAGAGAGGAGAGAGAGAGAGAGAGAGAGACGAGAGAGAGAGAGAGAGAGAGAGAGAGAGAGAGAGAGAGAGACTATTATAATATCGTATAGAATACCCTTTTCTTCAATTTAAGTCACAACCTGTCCAATCACGACCAGCTCGCAAACATCTCTATGAAAATCACATTTTACACAATCAAAGTGTTTATTCTAAGACAAAAATATCCAAACTTGGGCTTTAACCTTGGTCAAAAAACACTCGTCATTCTTACACACAAGTCTTTGTATAAACATATTTCTATCAACCATAACATTAAGTAACATAACATATATGTTAAATGCCAATCATATTTCTTATTAATTTTCTAATGCAGTTCTATATCCATGAAGTTAGAATGCGATTTCACTGCGAAATAAGACACTTATATAAGTGTGGTTTTACCAGAATACCGTAGATTTTAAAATCTTTTTACTCTCGTTATTTCATGAGTAGATACTCTAATTTTACCACATCAGAATAATTATCTATAAAAAAAAAAAAAAAAAATGAAAGGGTAACCTGCTACAACTAACTTTTAATTAAAAAGGTCAGGTGTAACTACCCTACACTGTATATCTTAGTGACACTCCTTTCCCTAACGTAAAATGTACCACTCATGACAACAGTAACGTTACACACACACGCCCATTCTAAGCATCGTCTATCCTACCCGACCAACAGAGGCAAAACCTAACGACGCATCTCCCTAGAAACAAGAATAAAGCATCGGTCAATCCTCATCACCGCTTCACCGACCACAGGGAGAGAATATAAAGCATAACCTCCCCAAAAATAGTGAGTCGCCGAGATGAAAAACTTTCCAGAACTCGGTAATACAATGTGCAATATAATATAGGTGGTTCCATCTCAGTTGGTTCTACAGGATGTGTAAGTCAGGATCTTCACGTAAAGACCCGAAAACACGAGGCACTTATGGTAACGGTCTTATCTACACTGCAATAACGAAAAAAAAGCCATTCTCTAAAACACAGACGTTTTACCGTAAAAGAGTGTGCTGCGACGGTTGAAGATATGAAAGAAAATTAATAGGCAATTAAGAAATTGTGGCAGACTAAGTACAATATATATACATATATGTATATGTATATTTGTGTGTGTGTGTGTGTGTGTGTGTGTGTGTGTGTGTGTGTGTGTGTGTGTGTGTGTGTGTGTGTGTGTGTGTGTGTGTGTGTGTGTGTGTGTGTGTGTGTGTGTGTAACTTAGATTAATAATATATTAATTAATATAATAGTCATCATTAATCGATATAAAACATATCAATATACGAAATCACAGGTTTACATTCAACTGCCTCATCCACAAAGGTCGTATCAAATAATCACTCATGAATACAAATAATGTCTGATTATCAGCAAGCATCCAACAGGAATGTTTAAATATATTATCATAAATACATGTCTTAATCAAGTTAACGATATAAAGAACCAGTGTTTAACTGCGGTTATTATGCTCCTGGAAAATATAAAACACATTCTTAAAGGCTTTTTTGCCTCCTTCATGTCAGAAATCTCCCTTCCAAATACTTAAGTTATACAGAAAACTAGACACAGACTAGTATCATTAAAGGACAAGGCACTGTGGCACTGCTCCCTGGCACCATCACATCCTCAGGCGCCGCTTGACATCCTTCAGCTTCCTCGGCGACCTCCTGAGGGCCACCTGCCGCGTCCCTTCTCTCGGAACGGACGTCGCGTCCTTGTCCTTCTTCGGCCTGCCTCTCCTTGGTGTTCTGGAGGCCGCGGAGGTCGAGGGGGTCGCCGCTCCCTTGGCCTCTGCCGCGGAGGTCGAGGGGGTCGCCGCTCCCTTGGCCTCTGCCGCGGAGGCCGTGGACCTCGAGGGCGTCGACCCGTTGGGCGCCGGACGAAGGCCTCGCCTCGTGCTCGGGCGGAGGCTCGGGGCCGAAGTCGCGGAGGAGGTCCACGTAGTCGACGAGAGTCTGGCCTCGCCGTTCGCCTCGCCGGCCGTTCCTGTTCTTCTCTCCTCGCCTCTCTTCTCCTTCGTCTCCTCCGCCTCTCCTTCTGCCACGCCTTCGCCTTTCCCCGCTCCATCCCCCGACGGCCCCGCTCTTACCGACTCCTCAGGGGCGCCCGCAGAGGAGGCTTCCAACATCGGCTTCTTGTGCGAAACCTCCGAAATTGCTCTCGTGGGCGGCCGCTTCAGGGGCCTCGCCGGAACCGAAGGGCGGGACGAGCGCTCTGACGGAGGGGCTGACGGGAGGTTGCCGGAGGCCTCCATCAGCTCGTCTGCGTATACCTGGAACGAGAAGGTTGAATAAAGGAGACGGTGAGGAAGGGGGGCACATACATAGATAGATAGATAGATAGATAGACAGAGAGAGAGAGAGAGAGAGAGAGAGAGAGAGAGAGGGAGAGAGAGAGAGAGAGAGAGAGAGAGAGAGAGAAGAGAGAGAGAGAGAGAGAGAGAGAGAGAGAGAGAGAGAGAGAGAGAGAGAGAGAGAGAGAGAGAGAGATTGAGAGAGAGAGAGAGAGAGAGAGAGAGAGAGAGAGAGAGAGAGAGAGAGAGAGAGAGAGAGAGAGAGAGAGAGAGAGAGAGAGAGATGAAGACAATGAGACATTGAAACAGAGAGAGAAATGGACAGAGAAAGGAAGATGCAGAGACAGAGATAAGGATAGATAGATAGGTAGATAGATAGATATAAAGATAGATAGAGATAGACAGATGGGCAGATGGATAGACAGGTATATATATAGGTAGGAAGATAAATACATACATATATACTTACACACACATACAGGTATATATATATATATATATATAATATATATATATATATATATATATATATATATATATATATATATATATATATTATATATATATATTATATATAATATATATATATATATATACATACATATATACACATATTCATAGACAAACAAATAAAGACAGTGAGACAGAAAGAAAACTGAGAGAGACAGAGAGGGAGATAGATAGATAGATAGAGACAAACAAATAAAGACAGTGAGACAGAGAGAAAATGAGAGAGACAGAGACGCAGATAGATAGATAGATAGAGACAAACAAATGAAGACAGTGAGACAGAGAGAAAAATGAGAGAAACAAAGAGGGAGAGAGGGAAGGAGAGAGAGAGAGAGAGAGAGAGAGAGAGAGAGAGTGAGAGAGAGAGAGAGAGAGAGAGAGAGAGAGAGAGAGAGAGAGAGAGAGAGAGAGAGAGAGAGAGAGAGAGAGAGAGAGCCCTCTTCCCCCAAACCACAAATCACGACCAAAACGCCCAAACGCCGCTTCCTCAAAATAAACATCAGTAAGGTCTGCCCGAGGACCTTTCGTCTCTCGCCCCACCCCCTCTCCCGTCGCCTTACCCCCCCCCCACTCCCATCCATCCTACAACCCCCTCCCCCCCATCTACTCCCACCCTTCCCCAACTCACCGCCGCCCATCAACCCACCGCCCATCTCTAACCCCTCCCCTCCCCCACCCCCTCCTCCCTTACCCCGACTCACCATCTCCCATTACCCATTAACCACTCTCCCCCTCCCTCACCATCGCCCATTACCCTCACACCCCCTCCCCCTCCACTCCCCCCACCCCCTTCCCCCCCTCCACTCCCCCCACCCCCTTCCCCCCCTCCACTCCCCCCACCCCCTCCTCCCTTTCCCCGACTCACCATCTCCCATTACCCATTAACCCCTCCCCTCCCCGCTCTTCCCACCCACCCCCTCGCCCCTTGTCCCCTGCCCTCACCACCTCCCCATTACCCATTAACCCCTCCCTCTCCATTCCCCCTCCCTTCCCCATCCCCCACACCCTCCCACATCGCGCCGGCCGCCCGCAGAACGCCCACACCGCCTAATGTGGTCGTCCGTCAGGCTATTTAGTCCCGCCGACGAATCAGAGACGAGACGCGACTGCCAATCATGCTTAATAGCCGGCGAATCGAACGGCGTCTTAAGAGTAAGAAATTAATCCGTCTCAGCCTAATCCGTCGGCTGGAGGGGGGGGGAGGGGGGGAGGGGGGGGAGGGGAGGAAGGGTACTTTCGGAGAATTTTCTGAGACCTTAAGGCCAAGGCGGGGTTGTTATATATATATATATATATATATATATATATATATATATATATATATATATATATATGTATGTATATAGGCCTATGCGGAGGTCTGTCAGGCTGGGAAGGAGGTGGGGGGGAGGGGGGGGGGCACGTGTTTTGTCCGCGTCGCGTTTCTAAGTAATTTCCGTCTCTGTGTGTCAGTCTGTCTTTTTTTTTTTTTTTTCTCGCTGTCTATCTCATTTGATTTCTTGTTTTCCTCTCCTTCTTGCATTATTTTTCTGTTATTTTTTCTTGGGTGTTTATCTTGTTTTTTTTTTTTCTCACTTTTACTCTTTTTATTCCAGACAGATGCACACACACACACACACACACACACACACACACACACACACACACAGAACCTCCTCCCACGTACAGCCAGGCCTACATAAAAAGATTTTTTGGGCCAATCTCTCCGACAGCTGTTTAGTGCCGCCCTCCCGTCCCTCCCCCCTCCCCCCTGCCCCTCCCCTTCGCTCGTGGGCATGTTGACAAGGGATGGGTGACGCCCTACTGGGTAGCGGAGGGGCGTGACCAGTGGGTATCTGGGCATCTCTTGGCACGCCTCTTTTGTTCTACTTTATTATTATTTATTGTTGTTTTTAGTTTTTGGTTCTGTTTTTCCGTTTTCGTTTTCAGTCTGTTTGTCTGTCTCTGTTTCTGTTTCTCTGTCTCTGTC